GGCAAGCACCAGCTGCCTACTTTCCCACCTGGCTGTCCAACAGGTAAGCTATGTATCAGCGGTCAGCCCAAGGCATTGCACTGTTTTGACCCACTGTGTTGGCTCTCAAGAAACAGCACGGGTTAGTTGGTCTCCAACCACTTCAGCTCCCTGAGGACAAGAACGAAGATGGTTCTCGAAACTGTTTTTTTTCCACCTTTGATCCACCTGACATGACTGGTAGCCCAAGAAGAATTTATTGAACCCATTCACCATGAAAGCTTCAGATCATACAACACACTAACCGTTTTATAGTCTGTACCATTAGTGTCATTAGTATTTTGGGAAGCAGATAAGATCTCTTTCTTTCAGTTGTATAATAATTAGCATTTGTGTAATGTATTTTCTCTTCACTGTAAAATGAGATTTTTATGTGAATTTTGATATTTTTATAGCAAGTGCACAAGATTTAAACTGCAACCATGTTACAAGCTCCTTGGCTTAAAGGGATGGTTCTACTGTTAGCTACCATAGTTGTTAGCAGTCCGGCAAGAAAAGTTCTCCATTCCAAGGTAAACATTAGAAAACACACTAGAAGGTATTTCAAGATTAACTTGCAGTAAGGCAAGTTCCTCTCTCCAGCATTTCTTGAATTAAACTTGGGATGATGGAAAGTTTCCAAGAAGTTTACTATTGTAATAACTTGTTTTTGCTTACATTATTCAGAATTGGTAAAATAAATACCATTTTACATTAAGAAATGCTTGTATTTTGTATGGTCATTTTGATTGTCACCGATTTAACATTTTAAGTAATTCAATCAAAAAGTTACTTTTATAGTATAGTTTCTAAGTACAGTGCTTTAATATACAATACTTTTATTCACCGTCTTTGATTTTATTACATCTCCAGGCTTCTTCGTTTTTATTTTTGGAGACGCGCCTGGGTGCCTATATCTGCAAAATCAATTTTAATTTTCATATCGTGATTCTGGCTACCGACATAGGAAATGGAATAATATTACTCTAATTTATAATATTTTAAGGAATTATTCAAATATATCGTATTACAAACAAAATAAATGTAATCACAAAATATAAAGTATTATAACATACCGGGTTGTGTATGAGGTGCGTGTCCGTTGTTATTGAATGGCAGACAGCAACTGAGTTGTAGGTATCGTGTGTGGCTATATATATTGGGTGAAAGTTGTTTAGGGGGTTGGGTCAATGGACTGTAGAATGTTAAATATCGGATTGTTCGTGTAAATGTTGCTGTCGTTTAATGCAAGGTTCTGTTTATGTGTTCTTTGTATATGATATTTCTCTATGGTGTCTCTATGTCGTTTATTTTGTATTATTTTTATAATGTCCAATGTATGTTCTATTTTGTTGTATGAATGTCCTGTGTTTAATATATGCTTTGCATATGCTGAATGGTCTTTATTATGTTTTATTGCTGTAATATGTTCTTTATATCTTTGATTAAAGGTGCGTCCAGTTTGGCCTATATAGGTTAACGGGCAATCATTGCATTTTAACCTATATATGCCTGGTTTTTCGTATTGATTTGTTGTGTCTATTTGTGGTTTTTGTTTCAAGATGTTTTTTATAGTGTTTTTTGTTCTAAATGCTATTTTTATGTTATTTGTTTTAAATGTTTTTGTTATATATTTGGTTTCTTTTCCTATATATGTGAATGTGGCCCATTTGTTTTGTTTATTTTCGTTTCCGTCTTCATTTATGTTGTTTATATTGTTTTTTTTATTTTTGGGTTTTTCTTCATGATTATTATATCCGTTTTCTATTAGAATTTGTTTTATTATGTTACATTCAATTTGTTTGTTTATTGTGGTCATGGGATATGTATTTTTTCGGTTTATTAAGTAATTAATAGCCATTTGTTAATGTTCATTTGGATGGCATGAAGAGGCATGAATTATGGTGCTTGTATTTGTAGGTTTTCTGTATATTTTGAATTCAGAGTTGTTTTCGTTTCGTATTATAGTTAGATCTAAATAATTTAATTTGTTATTTTGTTCTTTTTCTAAAGTGAATTGTATATTTTGATTTATGTTGTTAAATTCATTTAAAACATTTTTTATGTCTGTATTTTTTCCATCAAAAATCATGAGTATATCGTCAACATATCTACTATAGTATTTAATTTGATATTTATTTAATATATTTACTATGTAATCATGTTCGAGATATTGTAAGAATATTTCAGATAATATGCTCGAGGTGGGGGCTCCCATAGGTAATCCTGTTTCTTGTTTCCAATATTCATTGTTGAATTGGAAATAATTTTGGTTAATAATAATGTTAGTTATATTTGTAATTTCATTTATTAGATCTGTATTTATATTCTGTCTATTTAGAATATCTCTCACAACATCTCGTAGCATGCTTGTTGGAATATTTGTATACATATTATTGATGTCAAATGAACAAATTTGTATATTTTTATTATTATGAAAATTTAGTTGTTGGATTTCATTTATTAATTTTATAGAATTTGTTATATTAAAGGTATTTGGTAAATTACAATATTCTTTTAAAATGTTTTGTATTTTTATTGCTATTTTATATGCAGGGGCTGATGTCCAATTTATTAATGGTCTGATAGAGTATGGGTTCTTATGTAGTTTAATTTGTCCTGTGATGATTGGTGCGGTGGCGCTATGATTATAGTATTGTGTTTTGGGATGGTTAAAAATGTTATTACACTTTTGGGTTATTTTTTGTATTTCCTTTTGGTATTTTGGTGTTGGGTTTTGTGTTAGTTGTGTGAATTCATTTTTGTTTATAAATTGAGTGATGTATTTTTGGTATTGTTCTATAGAGAGTATTATGATGGTTTTTCCTTTATCTGCTTGCGTAATTGTTAGTTTATTTTGTTGTAATTTTTGTTTGATATTTTTTATTAATTTCCATTCGTTAATATGTATTTTATTATATTGATCGTTCTTTTTGTTTTGTTTAATTAGGTGTTCAATTTTGTCAGCTATTATGTGTCGTATATGGTCTTGTTTATTGCCTTGAATCACAGTGCAACAATGGCCTGCATGATGTGGAGTGAAGAATGCTTTTTGATATATCAGTGTACTCCAAAAGAGTGCTCTTTTGCAATGTTATTATTGTCACTCACCACCATAGTGTCTTTATGAAACTCACTTTGACTGTCAGGTTTGATTGCTTCATAGAGCCAGTCTCCAGGATTAACTGCTGTTCAATTTTCTCCTAAAATTTACACCTTTGTGATAAGAAGGAATTTATATTTTGTTGAGTGTAATGCCTCTTTTATCTATTTGCCACTTATGTAACTTGACAGTCCAATGTACAAATAATGATAAAGATTAACGATTTATCTATAAAAAATTCCCTACAGATTTTCATTTCTTTGCACCTAATTATTTAAATTTCTGTTAAATAATTTTCAGTCACCCAGTGGAGGATCACAAGGCTATGAAGCTAAACATTCTACAGGCCATTCCATTTCAAGACGAAGTGTTGACGTGCCAACCATCAACATGGCTAAGGCCCATGTTGATGATTTACATTTACCAAGGGATGTAACACCAATGGCTTACCATCTAGAACTTCATCCATTTCCTGATGATGGTTACTTTAAGGGTCGTGTGCGCATAAACATCACGTGTCATGAGGCAACAAACACCATAACATTACATGCTCATGAGAGCCTGCACATAGCACATTCTGAGGTTTCTGTGAAGCAGCTTGGAGGAGGGTCTGCTTCATCAGAATCAAAAGATACAAACGTTAAGACTGATTATCCTTTCAGGCACATTGGGGAATATGGGTAATTATCACCTGATTTTGAGTAGGTAACATATGGGTTGGGAGAAGTTGGAATAGTCAGAGTAAGTGACCAGCAAAACTAAGGAAATTGCTAAATGTTCGTTCAAAGATAGTCAGTACATCCTACATGGCTACATAGATGAGTTTGCTACTGGAAAGAGAATGAACTTTGATTGCTGTCTGTGTTTGCTGCTAGTGGCAGGCAACATTTCTATTATCTAAACTGGTTTAAATTCTCCACAGGTTAAGTGCACAGTTAGGGGAAGACACCTTATCCATAATCCGCTGTGTATGCATGTATATATGATTCTTGGCATAGTGGAATGTTTACATATGGCATAAAGAACACTATTGAAATTTTAGTGTACTGCAGATAGTACACCTTTTCAGTCTTGTTCTTCTCTGAATCCTCCAAAATCCACCATCGTAATTATCTTAGCATCTCTCGCTCAGTGTTTCAGTTGGTAAAACAACATTGTATGAGAGTGATTCAAGGGTGACCTGGACTTCTTTTCCTTACAAATAAGTCTGCACCACAATGACAAAATACCCTTCATGGCAGATGGTAGCAATTCTACTTTTATTTCAGGCACATAATCATACCCTTCATGTTAGAAGCAGTACAAGATGGTGTCAGAGTCCACATCAGATTTCTGATGGAAGAGAGAGTGATCAGTCATAGAGTGAAGTAGTCTACCATTGTCTCATTCCAAGTCACAGATCATTTCAGAAATGCAATTCCCTCCAGTTTAGTCTGGTGTAAATGGTTAACAGAAACAGAAACACATGCCTTCTGTTTGAATGCCAGCATCGTTGGGACCCACCATGTGCACACTTTCTTGTACGATAAACGTTTACAAATAATTGTCTCTATTCTCCCAACACTTACATACAATGTGGATGCAATATCACACACTTTAATTTGTCTGTATTCCAAAATCACCTCATTCAGTGTTCACATCTGTGACAGCTGTTGCCTGCATGTGACCATGTGGTCAGTTGGCAACCTGTCCATGGAATTCAGAACATTTGTTGCGCCAATCACATAAATGATAAAGTCTCTTCCCCATACTGTGGGCTTAACCTGCAGAGAGACTTTCACCAGAAATTTGGTGATACAGCACTGTTCTACACTCAGAGTAATATGGTACAGCTACATTTTGTATTGCTTCTAATGCAAAGACACAAGGGGGTATGGCTATGTCTGTGGGAATTAGAGCAGTGTCACCACCATCTGCCACAAAGTGTATTTCGTCATTCTGCTGCAGACATATTTTGTTAATAAAAGTTCAGGTCAACCTAGAACCACCCTTGTGTAACATAACTGTTGACTCCAGTTTCATATTTTTATATTCTTTGGTTGCATTTGTTTAAGGTCTTCATTATCATCATTGTTTCCTGTTACAATCTCCAGCACAAAGAAGGAACCTTCAAAGCACTGGTATGTTATAACCTTAGCAGACAAACTGAAGAAAGATCTAGCCTATCAGCTGGACCTCTCATTCACAGGCACCTTGACTAATGATACAACAGAGGGTTTCTTCCGTGCCAGTTACCAGCTTCACCGAACCAAGGAAACAAGGTTAGCACATGAGGACAGTAGGGTGTTTTTGTGATGTTATTATTTGTAGAGCGGGGGAAAAGATTGTTATAATTTGAATTTTATTTATTCATTCTCTGCTGGCCTAAGAGCTGAAGCATTTAATGCTCCGTGATAGGTGGAAATGTAGAAAAATAATGTGTGAACCATTCTGTCACAGTAACTTTGTACTGAAACTGTATTGGTTGCTAACCATATTAAGGAGATTTCTGATTGTCACACTTCTGTATATGAATTATGAGCATAAACAAAGTTTTGCCAGATATTTTGACAACAAGACACTACTAGCACAGGTTACGTATGGGTTTTGAAGTATTCCATTAGTATTGTGCCATGAGATAAAGCACAAATGGGGTAGAAAAGAATATTTCAAATTCTGCTCCAGAAATTAAAGAAATGCGTTAGTTTGCATGAAAGTGGGAGTTTGGAAGCTAAGAGCAAGTAGGTGGGGACTGGATAAAGGAACATGCCCCCTGTGCATGGAAAATGAAGATTTAAGGCACATGCTGCTGAGCTGCTGAGAAACCAAAAAGTGAATAATGTATTTTGTGAGTAAGAAGTGGTTGTGTTAATGAGGAACAGGAAAACAATAAACAGTGCAAATTATGTTCATATTATAAATTTAGGGGGATATTTAGATAAGATGGTAAAATGGGGTGACAAAAGTACTATAGATAGTAATATTAAAAAATATTAAATGGTGTTTTGTCTCACAATAACCTTTATTTTTAAATGGACTCTACCTAAATTCTGCATTAAAATATAGGACAGGGGGAGCATGTCACAGCCTGGCCAGCAAGAGGGGGGGAAGGACATGCAACAGAGAGGATTTAGGAAGCATCCAATACAGCATTGCTAGCCCTGACCTGGCCACCTAGGCCACCACATTGTCCTTTTCAGGGCACTGCCCATTCCTGGCCAATTCCTTCTTTCCACTTCCTGATCTCTTGTTTTTTTTTTATCCATTTTCTCTGCAGATATTTCCTTGTTCTCCTCATCATGTCCAACCCCTTCCTCTTGTCTCTTGATGATGCTGGCCAGATTTTGGCATGCCCTTCTCCCCTCCCATTGGCTTACAGGCAGAATCTTTATTATGAAACACAGATTTGTTATTCCTTGTACTGCAAACAACATGAGTTGTACATAGAGTAAAATAAGATTCCTTTACCTATTGATTGTGATGTATATGGATACATTCTGGACTAAATAACAAAATATTAGAATTGAAATATTAAGTTTACTGTGCATGACATTGGAGTCACTGCTTATGGATCTACGACCAAATAACAAAAGTTGAGGTGTAAATACATCCCTCACCAGGACATGAATATTATCCTTTATCATTTTTGTGATTCAACTTATGCATGATCCTGGGGCTGGAACAAGGGTTAACTTTAGCTTTGAGCCCCCCTGCAATTAACATCTGAAAATGAATATTGTACCTTAGTGTAAATAAAATTTCAGTGTTTATAGTCTGAGGTTTAGTTTGCATGATAAAAGAGAGTGATATTGATTGAACTGTGTCATTAGAAACTTTACACATAATGTGTACTAAAATAAATACACATTAGAATTTAAAATCCATAAAGATAACAGGTACACGAACAGTGAGCAAAAATTACTGATTAGAAACAAAACAGAATCAGTTAGCATAAGATCTTTTGCACTATTGATGATGATGACTATAAGTAACCTTTCACATGGAAATCCATTTGTCAGGATATGTGCCAACTGATCACAATATGGATTTCATTATACAGAGATGTCATTTTTACACGATACCAAATATTGATGGTGGCATTTTACAAAGCTGCAAATGCAAACACACATTTATTCTTTCCTTTTGTTTTGCCTTTTAATTTTTATATGTTTATTATATTCTATTTTACACTATTTATTTTTATTTTTATTTATTCAGTTTCTGCTGCCTTTCAAATTTTTCTCTCATGGGTGGCCACCAAGTTTGCCTGTTGGTTAAATGAGCTATGTGTGATCCAAGTGGCCATGTGATACAATAGCATACCACTAAACCATTAACCCTGGAGCTAAATTCAGCTGACAACCCCAGTAATACACGGATATAAACCCCTATTCTCATACCTTAAAAGCTAAGCCATTACTTACATAAATCATACTGAAGAGAGATGAAATTATAAAATTTGCTAATTTAATTTGAAATTTTATTCTTTAGGTCAATGAATCAATCCCTCAGATAACAAGTTCTTTGTGTACAACAGTCAAGCTGTTTCATTATATCATGTTGCAGATGGTTTGCAGCAACCAAAATGTCACCAAGAAATGCTCGACGAGTCTTCCCATGTTTTGATGAACCAGAAATGAAGGCTTCATTTAAAATCAGTGTTGCAAAGACCAGCCGTATGGTTGCTCTTTCCAACATGCCTGTCAAATCCAATGAGAAAATGTGAGTTTTGGTTAAGATATTGTTACAGAGCAAAGACCACAGGATGTTGTGGACTTTGAGGTCTGCAAGTTTTGGCATGTACACACCAGCAAATTACACATTATTACTATAATTATCATCATAATTGTTATTAGTATTGCTGGACTGAAGAAGTGCTCCAGCTTATGTTCTCCTAATTGATATTTCTCAGTTTTTGTTTCTGTCCTTATAGCATTCTCAGCACTGCTCCCCATGAAACTAACTTCTTTCTGCCATAATTTTCTGAAACATCATGAACTTTTGTTGTTTTTGTTATTCTTGTTCTTGTTTAGAACATGAACATAAAACTCACGGCCAAATTAAGTTCTCTTCAATGTTTTATGCAGACCCACAAGATGCACAACTTCCATTGCATCAGTTTCAAGAAATTCTAAGATTCAGATGCATGCCAAATAGCTACTTATGTTCTGTTGTTTGATATTTCAATTAAATCTAGTGAAAGTGTGTTTCAATAACATTCACATGTCTGCTTGCAGAGAAATAGAGAAACCAAAAATATATCATAAGTTATGGAATGGAGTTAGTAGAAGTAAGCAGTTATAGTTTTCCAGACATATGTGAGGGCCCCTTGAACAGTCACCTTTCTTTTTCTAGTAGACACTCATTTTCACATACCTGATTTTCAAGTCGCATTGTCACAAATTGCAGGCAGAACACAACACCATCACCTGCTGTACTGAAAATATAAACTGTAACTGGAAGCACTGTTTAATACTCTTCCACATTAAATGTTTAAGTTATGATGTAAGTGTATTTAAACGATTATTTTGCTCTTCAGTCCTTATAATGTGTTGAAGGATTTATGTTATTTGAGCATTATTAAACACTCGGATTCTGTAGGGTTCTGACGATGGTATATTATAGTAGGGGTTAAATGGGTTTTTGGACTTTGTCCATCGTCCAAGGTTAAAATGCACATGACGTTTTGAAAACAGGACCCATTTGATTGTGAATAATCCTGCACTAAACTGACATCTAAATTGCAGTACACATAGAGATCTGTGTGCTTGTTTTATCCAGTGCATGTTTAACAAATTATTTAGAAGAAACCAAAGTATTTTTTTTAATTTTGAAACACTGCTTGCATTGCTGGCATAGTACAAGGTTTCTTCAGAAGGGTTAGCACGTTCTAAAGAACCCTTAAAAATGTTGTTAAACAGAACATATTTTGTTTAGAATATGAATGAGGTTTCACTGCATTACACTGAAATTTTGTTATTCCAGTATTTTTTATTGTGATGTATTTTTTCCTTGTGAGGATATGGTATTTCTGTTGCGGATGAACAGTATTTTCATTGTACTGCACTATCATAATACTGGCTTTCATTATACTGAGGATGTTCAAGAGTTGAATGTTTTTATTTATTTATCTGGAAGAACTTGTACAGTTGTGATTTGTGTTTAAAGGGTGAATGAGACTGAGTGGACCTGGGTACACTTCCAAGAAACTCCCCCCATGTCAACCTTTTCTTTGGCAGTTGTTGTTTTGGATTTGGAGAGTGTATCTGTAACAAAAGCAGCTTATGCTGGAGGTAGGTAGAGCACAGTCTTATTAATATAATGAACTAACAGAGGTGCCTGCTGTCTTTGCCTTATTGTTATGCAATTTTTGCGAGGTGTACATGAAGTGAATGCACATAGAGCTGATCATATCTGTCTGCCTGATGATCAACTCAGGAACCTCTGGACAGATTTTCATGAAATTTAATAATTTTTTATTTTTCGCATTATGGATTGAAACTGCATGCTGCCCTCCCCCCTCCTGTAGTGAAGCCAGTTTTCTGCATGCGTTACCTCTGGAAGACCCTCAGCTAATCTACAAACAATGAGAAACAGTGCAGTCTGTTATCACCACTCTAAGAAATCCACCAGTAACAGTGATCATTCTGGAAACAAGTCTGTGGCATATAGGAACAGCAAGACAATGGCAAAAAGCCAGTCTTGAGTTGATTGTCAAGTGGGGGCGAAGCTCTACGATTGCAAAGCGCTCTGCATGTGTGTCCCAACTGAAGGAGTGCATTACCAACCAGAATGAGAGAACTGGAAGAGCAATATGACATAGACTGTTCAACTGTTTAAAACTGGAAAAGTTAGCCATAAATATGAAATGCTGGCATGTAAGGAACTTGAATAAGGAAATGTCTCAAAAGAAGAAAGAGTGAAGAATGGCGGGCAAAAAAAAAAAAAAAAAAAAATGTAATGAATAAATCTGTTCTACAAAGTATATCACGAGAACAAAATTTCTGTGGCTACAGCAATATCTTCAAAATGCACTTCAGAAAGCATTTTGTCAGCATTTACAGATGCAATATGCAAACTGAAGGGGTGTGTGATTCCCAGCATTAATTGGTACAGTGTCATAAATTGAATTTGTTGTGGCTGCACCTTGCAACTCTTGTATGATTTGAAAGTACACAAGGCATGTGCTTCAAAATAAACAGAGAACAGGATTATTCTATTGGCCACCAGTATTTGCATTGAAAGCAAGCAGAATTGGTCCTTTTTATCAAAGGCAACTGACATAGCACTGTTATGGGAAAAAAATGTAACTGAACAGTGTGTGACATTGTCTTTGATCATTGTTCACAATGCCACATCAAGGGATGTGATATGAGGATTTTGCTTCATTGATAACCACAGCTCAAAGCCACTGTGAATATAGATCATTCTTACTCAAAAGGAATATCAAGGGCAACAGTAGTATCTGAGGTCGTTGTTATGGTAGTGTAGTCCATGTTTATGGTTATGCTCTGACAATGGTCTTGTTTCCCATATTGTAAAAATATGTTTTAACAATGACCCTGGATCATGCAGGTTACCTGATTTGTAGGAGAAATGTGACGGATGGAGAGAAATGGGTGGAACTCCTGAAAGAGGCGCAGTCCTGTTGCTGTTTATAAAAATTAATACTTTGTCCTTGTCATGATTGTTTCTGCAAACCAAAACACTAAAAAATAATTTGTTAAAAAGGAATGAAAATGTCCTTATGTTTTGGGAACTGATTTTTGATAATATGGTACCTAGAAAAACAAATTAATTTGTGAATGTGAGAGACTGTGTTGTTATATGAGACAAAAGATCTCTGAACTGCAATCTCTTTTTGAAGTATGAATGGTTAAAGGCCATTGTATTTTTTTACTGGTGTGATATATCTTGTCTACATTTTGCTGATGTCTGATCTTCTTCTAAGCTGTTAATTCTTGTCCAGGTGCTGTGACCATGTCCATATTTGTACAACCCAGCTTCCTCTCCCAAGTGCAGCATGTTTTGGAAAAGGCATTTCTGGTGGCGGAGTTTATAGAGAACTACCTGAAAGTTCCATTTCCACTACCAAAACTCGATATGGTGGCCCTACCTCGGTATTCTGATCCTGAGCCAGCAAACCACTGGGGACTTATCATTCTGAAGTAAGTAACTGAATTTAATACAACATTTGTCTTACTAGTTGTTCGTTGCCTTGTCCTGTTGCTTCCTACACTGCCTCCCCACTCTCATTTATTTTATATACATTTGTCTATATTACTACCTTTGCTACATGCTGAATTACAATAAATCATGTTTTCAAAGCAGATTTGTTACTAAGTACTATCACCTGCTGCATTATAATTTTAATCTTTTGCTTTTATAAGTACATTTTATTAATATTTATCATATTAAAAAATGGGGGTTCAAAGTATAGTGGAGTCCAGTTGGACTTATTCCATGATAGTTGTACTGAGCATGTAGCACATATTGAAAAAATGATAAATACATGCACAATTTTGTCAGAATATCTGACAGAACAGGACCAGTTGGGAGACCTAGGCAGAGATGGGACATTAATATTGAAATATGTCTTACAAACATTGGATATGATGATGTGGACTTGATTCATCTGGCTCAGGTACAGACTTACAGTAGGCTTATGTGAACATGGTAATAAACTTTCAGGTTTCATAAAACTGGGGAGTATTTCCTTCATGGAAGCAAGTAATACACAAGAAAACCAGTTTTATAAAATTGTGTTCATGAAACTGGAGTTTGATCATAAAATTCTGCTATTCCAAATATGGAGGTCATGCACAGGGTCACATGAAACAATTGTTGCATAACTCTTGTTTTATGTTATTAACTAATTTACTAACCATTTGATACTGAAGCTCATAAAAATCATGTATAAAAATTTGGTTCCTACCACAAAGAATACAGAATGCTTCTGTATTTCAGAGATCAGTTATTTAATTCAGTTTAAGGAAGTAACTGCTGTTGAATCTAAGAATCATTCAAAACCCATAAATATACTCACTCACTCACTCTAGGGCGCAGGATATTCTTTGAAAAGTCAATTGTATCCTCAGTTTGTCAAAGAATAGCCCACTTTCTTTATGGAATCGAAAGGTTCATCACCGTACTGTGTGGTCAAAAAGGAAAGTTATGAATATTTAAGCAGGACATACAATTAGTTACCACTGGACTCTAAATGGTGAATAGTAACATTTGTAGATATGTGTGGAAGTAGTAAAATATTGTAAATGCTGCTATAAAAATTTTGCTGTAACATATTTTCCTTGTGGGGACGTGGCAATATATGGTACACCTCCTGTTGACTGAAGGATGTGCGAGGTCATGTCAACTATTATATATATATGTGTGTGTGTGTGTGTGTGTGTGTGTATGTATATATATGTATGTATGTATGTATTATACTATTGTGGTGGTCCTTGATGCACAGCCCAGTCGGGTTTTCACCATTAGGGGTGCCCTGGAGTATTCGGTTAGGTGGGTTTGAGGATGAGTCAGGGCAGATGATGTCCTGCTTAGTGAATCCCCCACGTGGGATACCACAGTGGATTAGCAGAGTCTAGTTTGTGAGCACGACTTTAAACAGTGAGGGTGAATGCTTTGTGAGGCAGAGCTTAGCAGGTGCTGCAGTACCATGAGCAAGTATTTGCAAGGAACACATGTGGAATCTCAGTGTACTGCAGGACGAATTACACTTTCCAGTCTTGTTATTAATAAGATCTCATCAGCAAAATTTTAACTTCAATAAAAAAAACTGGCATACCTCTTAAATGTTGGTTTGTTTATGGGATGGTGGCGAAAGAAGCTAGAATATTCAACTACTGTGGCAACATTTGTAAGCATACACTTGAAAACGAACAAGTAGTTGTATAAAATAAATGTAACTAAAGAACAGCCTGTAGATGACTAAATACATTTTGAAAGATTTTCAAAGAAGTCACTACAGTGTGGGCTTAATGGATGGAGTTATATTGAAACACAAAAGAAGACAGTTTAGCCAGTGTTGAGCCTTGGAATGGGTCTTACTAACCTGTACCTTAGATAAATTGCCACTTTAGTAACCTCTTCACTTATAATTTAGAAATATTTGTCCTTGAAAATATTCGGTATTAAGTTATGTGTTTTCTCTTTCCATGATCAGGGAAAGTGATTTAGTGAATGAAGAGACTCTGTCATGGCGCCTGGCTGCTGAAGTGTCTAAGCAGTGGTTCGGTCACCTAGTGAGCCCTACTTGGGGTAATGCCAGGATTAACAAGGCCCTTGCTTACTATCTGGCCACTATGGCAGCAAAGCAGGTCAGTATATACTGAAACAAGTTTTGACGGCTCTAGTTTCTTTTTGTCATTAATTTATAATTTTATGCCATTTAATTTCAACTAAATTGTTTCATTAGTTGAATAATTAAGAAATGCTATATGCCTGAGTTATTCCTTCCTGTATATTACAGTATGATTCTAATCGTTTATTAAAAGTATTAGTATTATCCAGCAATAGCAAACCATTTGCATGCGTGCTACAGGTGTCATGTAAAAAATATGTTTAGCATGCAGAATTCTGTTTCAAAGAAATGTTTTGATAAAAAATTAGTAACAGAAATACTGTCGCAATGTTAATTTGTGGACTGCAAAAGTTGAGCAAGAAGGAAATGATTTATCCCATGAAGTAGGCACAAAATAAAATAGCTCAACGTGAAAGACAAACAGTCTGCGGAATATAAGATAAAATATTAGACGAAGATGGCTGTCTTCTGGATTGTTGCGCCATGTAGTTAGAAGTTTACCAACGTTTCAGAGGTCCTTGCTGCCTACATCATCAGGTTCACCCTGATGATGGAGATAGCAATAGATACATGTAATGGAGAAGCAACAGATATTTGTCCATATGCGGGTTTTCTCTGCCTTATACTAATTATAGTTACCAATGCTGGGTGTGTACTAAGTAAAGATGCCAATATATGTGGCTAATTTGAAAGAAATTATGAATTATTATTAATGATATTTCTGAGATGAGAGGCTATGTCCTACAGCAGAATTAATATGAAGACTGCACTTTGTCTGAACATCTATATCTGTCATTAGACAATCTGATAACATAAGAGGCTAGCATTGATATGAAAATCACATTCACGAGTTCTAAGCCTCATGTTTGATGTCTTTTTTGTTTGTTTGTTTGTTTAATGCTTATGTTGTATTCACACAAATACTCATTTATACTGCCCAGTGCAGCTGTATATTATTCAGCTATAGTCTGTCTTTCAAAATGTTTGGGTGGGACTCATACCAAAATCAATTTGGAAATGGATACTGAAATATGTAGATTGTGATATTCAGAAAATAATATGTAATTAATGTTTGTCTTTAAACCGTATGCATCCAGTAACTTTTTGTTAATGAGCAAAGGGTAATTAATTTTCAGTATTATCATTCATATTATCACTGTATTATGTATGCTGCATTGGTGAGGGAAGCAGGTATTTCTTTTATTTCTCCATGACATTTTGTTCATTGTCATTCTGATTTAAGGGTTTTATGTTTGAATCTAAAGTACACAAAAAATTCTATTTGCAAAATTACAGTTAAAAGTGCTTTTGTTTCATAAAGTACTCCAATCACTTATACAAAATATTATTTAGTATGTTAGCCCTTAAAAGGGCTGTTTTCAAGACCTGGAACTTTATTACGATATCCAGAATCTCTGTGCCTCAGCCATGGATCTCATTTGTCTCAGCATGGACTCAGATATTGAACATAATGTTGATATGAAGCAACTTTGTTCTTAACCAATCTAGTACTAACTTTATTGTGGGTTCCATTTGTTATTTATTTCTTGTTGTTTCACTTGGACTTCAGTAGGCATATGGTTTGTTTGTGTAACTGAGACTGAGAGAGTTTTGTATTGCCTACTTTGATGATCACCCTGTTTGTTTATGTTTGAAAGTGCAGTAGCAAGTTCTACTCTTTACTGTGGGTGTGGGGTGGGTTTTTAAACATCACTTCATATCATCAGTTAATCTGCTAATGTAACTGATATATGAGGTTTGAACCCATCCTACTCCTTTGTCATCTCAGTGGCTCACCATGATAGGCCTAGTTTCAAGAAAGTTGTTGCTGTTGTTGCAGAGGGTCAGTTAAGTGTCAGGAGTGCTGGTGGACGGTATGGTCCTCAGGGTTTACAGCAAGAGACTGGCTACAGAAATGTTGGACCTGGGGACTAGTTGAAAGGCAGTGAGGATCTGGATTATGATGCATATCCAGTAAAACTCAGGGTACTGTGTTAGTGTCTGAAACTCAACCCTTTGAAGGAACCCTTTTGCCAGTGCAAGGGAGCTTCAGGCTGCTAACAACTTTCTTTGACAGAAACTTGCGGTTATTTCAAGATTAAAAGAGGCTTATCTCAGAACATCACATACTGTGGTGATGGATGTGCTTACCAATGTACATGAACTATTACCACCTAGCAATTGCTGAGAGCATTTTGAGGTGTGGGCTCTCAGTAGGTTATCAAATGATGGGTCAGTGTTAGTTTACAGACCACAGGGAGAACATTGCAACTCCCAACATGTGTTGTTGAACTCTACACGCAATGTCCGTGTGTCTGTTTTTTGTTGGGGTTGTATCTCCCATGAAGAGACTGGAATACTCTGCTGCATGGAATTCAACTGGATGGCCTTTAGTATAAGCACGTCTAAAGTTATACAATGTGCTGTCTGTAAAAGTGCTTTAACCTGATGGAATAATCCAGTTTGAACAAAACGGTTCCATGACAAAACCGTACAAGACAAAACCGTACACGAAAATTGCGCACAGAAAGAAGCTCACTGTCATGAAAGCTCACACAAAAATTACTCACACGGACAAATGCTCACACGGACAAATGCTCACACTGACAAATGCACACACTGATAAATGCTCACACTGACAAATGCTCACACGTACGAATGCTCACATGGACGAATGCCTATATTCACAATACTATAAGTAATCGGAAGCGTTAACTGGTTA